CACCTTTTATCTACGACAGCAGTCCCTGTAAAAAATATTAATTTGCCTAAAATTGATCAAACTTCTTTAAACGTTTATCCGAAATGCTGTTTGAACCACACCCATTCCGCAATTCCGCAGATATATACAAGCGAAGATGTCATTGACTACACTACTCCGGATTCTCGAAACACAACTTTTTTATTCTATTATCCTGATGTGGAGGGCATTCATGGAAGTGGACGTGAAGCCAAGGCTGCTAACATGGAAACCGGAGGAGTTCAAATCTTGCAAACTGCATCACCATCAGAACCAGTGTCTGACTCTGATAAGGGCAGTCCAAATGTGCAGCAGTCTGGTAACTTACTTAGGTGCTTTTATTTGTTTTATAGTACCAACATTAGGACAACATCCTGGATTCATTCTTCTGAGTGTGAAACACGAAAAGATACACAATGCTCAACCTGCTGCTCGCGCAATCCCTGGAGGGCAAAAGGCAACCACATTGCCTCAACGCAAAGTTTCACGCAAACGATTGAGGAAACTAACACCCGGTTCTCGCAATCCAGACAATTTACGCGCAGTGGATTTTGACCTTCTCTCCACAGATTGTGTCCCAAACCTGGGAGCAAGCGTGAAGGAGGGGTCTTCTGCTCGTTCTCGTTTTAGAGTGACTCGAATTGCGGATTCAAGTAGCTGGTGGATTCCTGAAAATCCCAAAATGTACATTTGCGTTCATGATTTGAGGACTTCCTCTCTACCGGACTTTGTGAAAATTCAGTACCAAAAGGTGCTTTCCAGTCTCTCAGTTGGTGCAATAAACTACAGTGAGTGTGGAAAAGATTTCTGGAACTGTTTGGAACCCAATTATCTTCAAAATGTCAACAAAGGTAAAGATTTTTTCAACACTAGTAAGAGTAGATATTTTGTGACAATATATTTTGATTTTAGGTATAAGTTTGTTTATTTTATCCCATTTGGCTAGAAATTTCGAAACCTACAAGCCAGATTTATCATTGTAGTCAATCTTCTCTCCCATGAAAATAGGACATTATAATCAAGTGTGTTTGTCTGCCCTTGTAATAAAATATATCTTTAGTGAGCCTGCTCTTTTTACATGACATGCAATAGAATATCCATTTGGTGTTTGCGATTGTCGTGTCGAATAATGAGCCTCATCATTAATTCAATGCACTTTAGTGGAGGGAATGAATTGCGACTTAACATGACACATTAATTTGAATTGGAAATAATTTGGTCACATTGGCATTGATGGTTGACTTTACTCGCGGCTTTTTTTTGTAATCCTGCAAATCTGCTTTATCTTTGCGTTTTTTCAGTCCTTTTTGTCATATACACTAAGAGTTGCATGCAAAAATTGCGGGTAATCTTGATTTAGCAATGAACATCGTGGCAAGGCACTTGCCAACACCACCCGCACTTCCTTCCACTCAAATGCATTGGTGAAGGAGCGATATCGATTGATAAGGTCTGAATGGAAGAAGTGAATGCCTTGCCTCTTTCAAAATCTAGGCACGGGTGCGAGTCTCTTGTGACACAGAAAAGAAATGTCAATTTCTTTTCCAACTGTGACAGTTGTATTTCTGCTTTTCCACTCCTCGCATTGGTATTTCATACAAATACGTATTTTTAATTCTAGAATGCTTTTTACCTTATCTCGACTTAAAGTGCGTCGTTTTGCAAGAATCATGGGGGAAATGAACGCGTCAATACATTAATAGCGCCTTTGTTGTTCGGTGTTTGAAAAATAAATCTTAAGTGGTTTACGTTGTGTTACAGCAACGAGGTGTTAGTTTTGTATCCAGTCCTACAATGGATGGCAAAAGTCCTTGTTTCTGTTTATTTCATTATGTGCACATAAATTT